TAATTGCTATTTTTTAATTTCGAAATAACTTGATATCCCATATGTACATAACAAGAGGTTTAAAAAAATCTGAAAAATATGAATGATTCGATAGTCCAGGCTGAACACCTGAAAATTTTAAATGTCCAGCTATTATGTTACGATTTAAAGAAATGACGTTTTAACGCAATTTTCTGAATAGGGTCCACGACGTAGTCGCTTATTATTTCCGTTAGACTGCTCTTAGCATATATCTATTTATATTTCCGGAATGTGTATTTGCTGCACTTTGTTGTTCGAAAAAAAAAGAAATATGTTTAACGTTTATGTTTAAAGTTATGTGATAAACTAAGTGTCCAGTGTTTTTGTTACGCGTTTGTTTTCTGAGGAAAAAATGTCGACGTCGTAAATGATTTAAGTATTTTGAAGACGTTACGTTTGTAGACTCAGCTATATGCACACCGTCAATATGCTGCAAGGGTTAAACAACTACAATATTGAAATATGAGAAAATATGGCTCCTGTAGATTGAAGGTAAAATTTATACTTTTAAGATGAAATTTTTGATCTGTTTGCCAATATATTTAGTCATTAGTATATTCAACAATAGTGCATAATTTTACTTATTAATTTTTCATAACTCTTGAATTTCATCTTAGAATCAACATTTTTGCCCGTTTACATATATGTTTGGATATATCACAGCTTCCTCATACATTTCAAAAGTCAACTTTTTTAAATGAATATATTCCATGCATTTCCTTTGTTTTTTGTTGTTGAGATTCAAACTTAAATGATTGACCCAGTTGTGTATTTGTGAATATACACTTACATTTTGTATATTTTTAGATTCTGTTTTGAAAAATTCCTGCCAGATTTTCTAGTAGGAATTTTATTTTCCCGCCAAATTATTCCTGCTAATTTAAATATTCCTGGTAGGAATATACAATATTCGTACTAAAAAATTCCTGCTAATTTAAATATTTCGGCTATTTTCCGTGTGGATTCCTACTACTGTCTGACTAGAATACCACTCTTTTCTGGTAGGAATTCAATGCAATATTCCTACTATATTCCGTGTACATTCTGTGTGGAATATTTCATACAGGTTATATTAGATACATGTAATACAACTATTGTTATCAATATCAGGTACATATTAATTACAGATATTTGTCCAATGACTAATAAGTACAATAAGATTGCCAAATTCTCCCCCGTGCTGTATAAACGAGGAATTATATATATAAATTGTGCGTATTAGTGTGTTATCGTGGTACGATTGTCAAAATGTGGTAACGGTCCCTTAACTCCATTAAAAATGTCGAAATCAAAATGACGGTATAATCTATTCAGCTATATATGATAGCGAAGACTCCTACACAGTATGAGAAATTTCTGTCAAATGATTTCATGTTAGTTGCATTCACATAGTAAAACAAGTACTCCTAAAAAAGTCCCATAACTCCCGTAAAAATGGTCAAAGCAAAATGATGGTATACTATGGTGAAGTAGGAGGAGTTGCTTTCAAAAAGTGTTGTTGTAACAATACTCCTGGACCCAAAAATGGTCAAAGTCCAATAACTCCCGTAACAATGGTCAAATCAAAATGTCGACACGGGGTGGCAAACAATAGTACCAAGTGTAAGAGCTTTCTGACAAATAATCTCAGAGGAGTTGCATTTACAAGGTGTAATTCTCAAAATACGGACTCAAAAGAGTTTTCAACCAATAACAAAGAGAAATAATCAAATCATTAAAAATACGAATAATCTCGATCCCATGGACACCTCAGACCACAGCAAGACAGAATGCACCACTCGAAATCATGTCGCATAAAATAAAATGGAAATACTGACCTAGCTGGCCTATTTTTTTTAATGATGTAACCTTAAACAGACATTTTTTTTTTGGCCTTAGAATGTCTATAAATATATAATCTTAAGTGAACTTTGTAAGTACCGGGAAAAAAACGTCCTGTTAAAAGGAAGTTTAAAACTTTACTTAAATGATCTTTTTGTTCAACTGAAATGAAGAGTTGGAAAGTTACGGAGATAAAGTGCAAAACAATTGCTTACAGTGTACGAAAGAAAACAAAACTCCGCAAACTTCACTTTAATAGCCAGATCTACCTTTTATTTATTTTGAACATATGCAATATCTCATTGTCTTTTATAATTGTTACACTCATAAATAATAGTTATAAAACAAACGAACTTAAATGTAAAGCATTTTTAGTTAGAAAATAATTTCAGCTTCCCAATTGTGAACTTTCAATTGCTATGTAGCAACATACATCAGCATCAGTTGATACGATACCCCAGAGCTTGCGTTTCCTATCACAATTTCCTTGATGGAGGGTACTGCTTACAAGGAAGCGATTGAAGCAAGGGTTCAAGTCATCCCTTTGAAAATTTCACGGGCGTCATCAAGAGCTGGTTGACAGTTATGGAATATCTGTTTCACAGATGACGACGGATATGATCCAATTATCGTAAACACAACACCTTCATTTTCCCTCGAATATGACATTACCGAATTAGACTTCTCACCGAATGTGAACTTACATAAGCAACACGACAATTGCCACAGGTGGAACAGGATCTGCTACCTTACCGCGGAGCACATGAGATCACATCCGGTTTTGGTGGGGTTCTTTAATTCTTATTCTTAAGTTGTCTACGTTGTATTTTTTTTTTGTAGAATGTTGTTTGTTTTATGGTCATTATTTATTTATTATTACCATGGTGTTGTCAGTTTGTCTTCGACTTATTAATTTCGAAATTATCCGTTTCGTATTTTCTGCCACATTAAAAAAAAAAAACAAAAAAACACGCCAATACCGCATCACTGACTACTGAGCTGATGATATCCTTGGATACAAGCAGTCCACCAACAGCGTTATCGACGCAGTGATAGAATGTTTTAGTGCAACAATGAAGATGTACGTGAATGATTTATTAGTATTTTAAACTGACAAAATAGTGAGTCATTCAATAACTGTGAGATACATGTACTGAGTACATGGCACATGACTTATGTTTCTTTATCACATGATATTAACATCTTAATCATTATACTGTGTCATGTTAAATGAACAGTCGGGAATTTTACTTTTGTCAGTGAAATAATACTGCAAAGAAATATGCTTTGTTTTTTTCTTTTTTATCTGGGATTGCTAGCAGTAAGAGCATTATAAGTATAATTTAGAATTATGAAAGAAACGCCCTGTAAAAAGGAAGTTAAAAAAGCTCTTATCAAAATGAATATTTCCATCTAATTGTTTATATAAAAACAAGGAAATGAAAGATTACTGATAAAAGTGCAAACCACTTATTTCCATTAAACGAAACAAAATATTTATTAACAGGAACACTTAAACTTTACGGAGAAATAATTACATTACATTTATGTTTCATTATAATACGTTATTTTGATTGGCTAACAGCATCTCGCGTCGTTCTGAAATTAACCTTCATTTCAAAATGAAATGTCACATTCATAATGACACGAGCTTCCCCAATAAAGTGCACATGTAAATAAAAGAAAAACTTTATAGAAATCGTGTTTTCATGATCCTAGCAATAAAATGTAATTATAAGTATTAAATGTTTCTTTTGGCAATTTTAAAGACTTCCAGGAACCAAATACCGGTTTACAAATATTCCCGCTTACGCAGGTCTTCAACAGGAAGTGGCTTCATATTAGACAAGATGCGGAACCAGTTCAATATTTACAAATTCCAATAGTAGTTTTTGGCAAATTGTAACAATTATTAAAGATGTATAGATACGATATCCCACCACGTTGACAACTTTCTATAATTCCGTAATTTAATGAAATAAGTATATTTCATTTTCTCATTATTGAACTAGTATGATTGATAGGATAAAGTCTTGCAGATATATATATATATATATATATATATATATATATATTAAGTTATATTTGGGGTTCGGAAGGCCAGCATCTTACTATTCTAATTTATACTAACTATGTTATTGCTGTTATATGACTGAGTTATTTATTGAGATAAATACATACTGGACAAGAATAAAAGTCATTCTTTTACGCTGGATTGATTTATATAAGATCATGCTGGAGTCAACCAACTACACTTAAAACAAGACTATCTAGAGGAACACTATCGATAATCTATACTGAATTAAAAGTACACACGACCTCTACTCGCTCGCCTGTAACAATATATTTAATGTGGTCATTAGAATTTTTCACTCCTTAAGTAAATCCAACAAACATTATTTCCAGCACGTAAAGCGTTACAAAGAAAAAAAAATTTGGAGATCAGTTTAATTGAATGTTTGAAAAGATAAAAATTGTGTTGTTGAAACAACCATGAAAAACAGAAAAAAAACGTCAAAATGATTTTATAATCTAAACTTTTTTTTCAGTTATCGATTATTTTATTTGTCATGTATTTATACACTGTACAGTGAATGGACAGTAAAAATTTACAATTAAGACTCGACTTAGAATTCGAGCTTTGCATGAGGGGAGTTATCTTACATTGTAACTGCAAATGTTCTGTCAACAATCTCCGTATTTTTATATCATCACAAATTATTCAGTTGAGCCACTAAGATGAGGACAACACTTCAGTATCGTAGTAAACAAGCAGTGTTAATAATACCAATATTGACACAAAGTTCTATGCTGTAATAACTATGAAACACTTCGAAAAACGTCGTCTTTTCAGGGATGCTCGAAGCAAAAATATATCTGAAAAGTGATTTTAAAAAATGCATTTTGAACATTTATAATCGAGATACATGTAAGCATACTTGTGTTAAATATATTGCAAATTTCAAACACAATTAAAACATCGTATTTTACGTTAAGGATAAGACTGCACACAGACAGACAAAGATCTATTTTCAACTGCAGAACCGAAATTTAACAGTCCATTTTCAAATGAAAACGTATTATCACATAACGGATGTATTTACTCTATATTTGCATAATAATTCTTCCGTATAGTATTCAGTGCATACACATTTGTAGTTTTGTTGCTTTAGTATGGACATATATGAAAGTTGAGGGTAAGCAATTTATTTATTTATCCATAGTAAACTTGGCTTGACTTGAAATAGTATGAGTTTTTGTGTGTGATAATTTTTATGCTTCTTTTTAATGATTCAGTCGAAATAGAAATGAAAATGTGTACAGGAGATGTAAGCAATACCATTTGATAAGAGTATATAAGAAAATCAACTAAACTTCTTTTCATATCTAACGGATCAATGTTTCATACAAAATAGACAGAATACCATATTATTTAAGGTACACTATTCAATTTTACCTGATCTCACTAGTTTTTATATATAGAGGACTGCAGACACATACCTTCTCCATCCATCTTCCACACACACAATCTCAATAAGCATCCACTTATGTGTGTGCATGTGCAACTCGACACATTTTAAGAACTACAGCAGCATTCCCCATATTTCAACATATCAATCGTTGTTTGGTGTATGTACATGGACTCACAGTAAGTTTTTCAATTTTTTGTCAGTTTTAACGGACTTCTCCCTTATTGAACTTCCCTTGGAGTTCGGTGTTTTTGTTATACCTTTTCACAACAGAGAGTCCCAGTGAATATAAATTGTTTAACACATTTTTCCCAAAGATTACGTTGTTATAAGAACAAAGTAAAACACAATATGTTATGTCATAGTTTCATTTTCTACTAAAAAAAATAGCTAACATATAGAACAGAGGTTTAAATACTAAATGTTAGATCTCTAAATGATGTTTGTTTGGTAGTTGATGCAGGATTGCATGAAAGGCAAGAATTTAAAAACATGCAAAGTCCTTCATGTATACAGTTTTGTGTGTTTGTGTATATGAGTGTGTGATTGATTTCACACGTATCGTTACAAATTCAACATAAGTATGCCCTTTCCGTCAAATATCATCTATATTATGTTTTGAAGAGGCTTTATGATTGGGTTGATATACTGGTTGTGCTTAGAGAAAATATGCTTCTTTCCTTTTATCAAATAAAGGTTGATAAAATGCTTTGTTCCGTATACAGTAAAAAAAATATCTCGCAATGACCAGATAAGCAACGAATAATGGCATGAATTAAAAGATGGAAAGAAGATAAAAGTTAACTTTATAATGGAAGCCACGACCCATTTAGTAAGAAGGAGTTAAAGTGTAAACATGATCTTAGATAACACACAAAGACAAGTCACGTGAGGAAAACTTGAAAAAAAAACGGTTTTGGGATCGTGCTGCTCAGTCAGTGTTCTATATTGTGTTTTGTATACTGTTGTTTGTCTTACGTCTTTTGTCGTTTATGACATGGCATTTTCGACTTATGTGATTGAATGTCCTCTTGGTATATTTCACCTCTCTTTGACATACTGTGCTTGTAGAGGCTGGTCAGTCAAACACAGGAAGAGTGACACAACAGGCAGAGGATATTTAAGTTAAGCGGGAACCGTGATATAAGATTATGTGGTGGTGTCCTGTGCGAAAAAATCGTCGTTTTGGTTTCTATGACCTTGATATATGTAAGACAGCCATAATGACGTTATAATAAAAGACTTGTCTCTACCTAACGATACATTATATATACTGTATAGCTTCATTTATGCAAGAAAATGTGAGTTTTTATAACCAATCAAGCATATACCTAATCCGTCCGTTCTATTACAGGTATTTTATTATGAATTCAAATATTGGAAGAACAAGCAATCAAGGTGTAGAAGAAGATGTAAATATGCATGGAATGAGAAAAATAACGTATTGGGAAAAATATGGAGTTAAACGTTTTCGTTACCGTGGAAGACGACGGTTCACTCCAATTCTCCATCAACATTTTGACGGTCAAATTAGTATCACAAACGATGTATTTGGCCTAACAATTAAGCAATTTGAAGAGACATTTAGAGCCTGTTTGGAAAGAAGAAAACAAAATTCTCAATGGATACTTAATTTAAGATACCCTGTTAAATCTTCCAACGAATACCTTGAATATTTAGAAAATTGTACAGGTCATATTGAAGGTAAGTTGATATAATTTATTGGAAAGTAAACTATGCTACAAATTTAAACAGTAACGTATATGAATGATATATATTTTTTAACAAAAGCAAACTAACAAAGTCATTGAATATGCATGCACTGCTTTAACACCAATTGCAGCATTCGGTATCGACCAAATAATATTAAGATAAACACGGATTCGTATTTAGATATATGCTAAAGAACCTGATTTCAGACCCATTTGTGTTTTTTGTTTTTAATTTTTAAATATTTCTTTCTAAATCTTCTGTCAATCCTTTATCTACCTGCTTATCGGTATAATATCTTTATATTTGATAACACTAGATGTGGATATGGTACAGTATAAAATGGAACTATGTATCATCCAGAATCCACCTAGTAGAAATTAGAATTCTGATGTATACTTATCAAAATTCAAAACAAATCACAATTCCAAAATCTACTCGTAGATATTGGGATATCCAGATTTGTACGAGGATGATCCTGGATGGTACTATATGATTATATTATACAGATGATAACAATATGTTTATTTGATTCATAATGAAATAATGAAATAATGAGGATTCTGGATCCTACTGAATTCAAATTTATAATGTGACGACAAAGATTTTCTTAAACAATTATCACAGATACCAGACTTATAACTTGGTACGCCAGACGCGTGTTTCTGATACATAAAAATCACAAGTGACTCTTGAATCAAAACAGTTGGATGTACAAGTAAGATACGAATTTGAAGAGCATTAACACCAATTATTAAAGAAAGATGTGCCAAATATGGATGAGGTAGTATTTGCCTTGGAGTATAAAACATTAGATTTTTTAATAATTCATCACTTTATTAACAATACCTTTGCAGAGAATGAATAGATAAGTTAAAAAAAAAGCCTTTCATGCGTCAGGTAAATTATTCCAATCTTTATAAGTTACTGGGGAAAACGATAATTGGGACATAGTTATTTCTGATAGAGGAGATACATAGTCCTATCATATAAGAATTCGTAGGTCCATATCGTTTACTTTTTTTACTATCAATGCTGAATCACGAAGTCTTATCGGAAGTCGCTATTTTTTGTAGCAAGTTCCGAATGAATTTTTGTGGAAAATTTGAGTTGTCCTTTGACACTGTTTTCAACAATCTTAAGTTAACTTCTGTTATTATAATTATTAAAGACAAACTTCTTAAATATTAAAAAAAAGGTGTTACCTTATCAGAGTGTCGACGTATATCCTATTTTAAAACATTTTTTAAAAATTATAAAGAAATATTTGATGATTGACTCAGTCGCTCACTGATTCGTGAAGTATTCAAAAGTTTATCCTTTCACCAGTTGCTAGCATACAAAACACAAAAATAAACATTCGTTTTCCTAGGAGTATTCTAAAATATATGCAACTGATTATTTATTCGGAAACACTGCGGAACTTTTCGTACGTGATTCGCTTGACAATTTAAAAGGAAAATAGTGCGCTATTTTCTAGACGTGCCATAAAACTGATATGCTATTGGTGAACGATGTTATAATAAATCTTACAAATAGATATAAGAAGATGTGGTATGAGTGCCAATGAGACAACTCTCCATCCAAGTCAAAATTTATAAAAGTAAACCATTATAGGTCAAAGTACGATCTTCAACACGGAGCCTTGGCTCACACCGAACAGCAAGCTATAAAGGGCCCCAAAAATTACTAGTGTAAAACCATTCAAACGGGAAAACCAACGGTCTAATCTATATAAAAAACGAGAAACGAGAAACACTTATGAACCACATCAACAAATGACAACTACTGAAAAAAAGCATCTATAAGCACCAGGATCCTATACATTTTGAATTTCACTCGATATCAGAGATACAGATACTTCTCTAAAAATACATCAATTTAAAGGAAAAGAAAAACAACAACGACGATGAAAACGACAAGCTTCCTCGTTAGCTGCAATATACCAACTTCACCTGCAAATGGGATATACATTTCCCAACGTATTCGGTACTCAAGAGCTTGCAGCCGCTATTCAGACTTTATAAAACGTTACCAGTTTGTGAGCAGAAAGTTAATGATGAGGATTATGTCAAAGAACATATCGTCCTTTTTCTAAAAAAAATCATCGAGAGATATCAAGACCTTGTTGATAAATATTTCGTATCAACTTCACAAATAATACATGATGGTCTTGAAGTATAGATTCTAGGTACTGACGCTGTTTATCATTTTAATTACGTGTTAAAGCTTATTTTTATTTGTCTTTGCATATCTTTATCTTTTACTGTTTAATCAATTTTTGGTATATACTTTTGGCGTGGCTAGGCAATTTTACATCCTGCTGTGTTATTGTGGTATGGTCATTTTTGTATTCTTCTCTTTCATTTTTGCTTATGTACTTTGTTATAAACTTTTTATAAGCCGGTTTGTCTTTAAGCCATTTTGTTTTTCTATGTTGAAATAGTAACTTGTTTTTATAGTGATTAGGATTATAACACGGTGTTGACTACAGTATCCACATTTTTACCTACTATGTCTGTTTGTTTTGATAACTTATTGTTGTCAATATAATGGAATTCCATAACTGTCATACAAGTCAGAGGTTAAGCTAGCTATAACACCATGTTTCATCCTCTATTTTCTACATAATAAAATGCCTATACGAAGTCAGGAATATGACAGTTTTTTTCTATTCTTTTGAAGTGTTTGAGCTTTTGATTTTGCCATTTAATAAGGAACTTTCCGTTTTGAATTTTCCTTGGAGTTTGATATTTTTGTTATTTTTCTTTTTTCGTTAAACTTTTAAAGAAATTACATTTTTCACATTGTATTTGATTTCCGATTGCAATACTTTTTGGAATGAAATCCTTTAAAAGATGAACTTCAGTATACCTTGTGTTTGATAAAAGTAGGCATCTCCCGTTCGCAACTCCTATCAAACCACCGAAGGGAATGTACTTTCAAGTGTTTACATTTACAGACTTTAAATTATGCACTTCCTATTTATGTTTTTGTAGTTGTTTCTTAACGTATTACAAAATGGAGTAATATATCTGTTTGATACAATTTGTTTGAAAGAGGGTATAAATCACCCAACCGCAACTCTTGTCAAACAAGATAATGAACTTCAATTAAAAATTCAGGGATTCTTCAATAACTTCTCGCCTTATGCTTTTTGATCCGAAAGGTTGTATGAATTTCTAAATATTTATATATGATTGAATTAAAATTTACTCATACTTTTTCCGAAAATAGTAAATGGAATTCATATTTTGTTTAGCGTCAAAAGTATATTGTGTAAATAATGTTGGCGGAAGTAGGGTTTTTTCCTCATGAGATGTCAAAGTACCTTTATTTGTTAAAATGAAGTTGTTGTAAAAAATCCCTTTCAGAAATCTAATCGTTATCTATAAACTTTATTTATATAAAATGGACCTAATGAGAGAATTTCAAATTTAAACTTTTTTAAGCCGGTTTGCACTAAGTATACAAATGATTTGTCAATTCTTTTTATGGCTAGATATTACATTGGTTGATTAAAATCACATAATTGTATTCCCAAAATCTGACAATTCAACACTACCTGATATGTTTGTTCCAGTCTTTCGTGTAAATTTGTCATTATTTGATGTGGTAATCATATATTTGATGAGGTAAAACCACGTGACCTTTTTGGAAAAAAATAATTCCTATTTCTAAACTAATTTCCATGTCGCTTTATGTGCCTCGGGTTAGTGTGGCTATCCATTGAGTTAGTGTTCTAGTTACAGTTCGAGTAACTGTTCAAGTTTATTTCGAGTTATGCTTCGAGTTCGAGTTTGAGTTCAAACCACAACTAGAGTTCAATTTCGGGAAAGAAATGAGTTTCGAGTTCGACTTCAAATTTGATTCATATTTAGAGGTAGAGTCGCAGTTACAATTCGCGTTAAACTTTGAATTTGAGTCACATTTAAAGGTAGAGTTCGAGTTAGAATTTGAGTTAAACTTTCATTAGAATTTGAGTCACATTTAGATAACGAGTTTGAGTTGAAAGAGTTAGAATTCGAATTACCTTATTTGAGTTCCTATTTAATTGTTCTATCCCGAATTCAGGATTTTCACTCGGGCGTTCGAAAAGGGGGCTGATAGGCATGCGTACAATATGAGGGACCGGCAGTCATAAATGAGAAAAAAGTTCAATAAACATTAATATTTCGGACATAAAAGGTATATGATTATCCACTACCTCTTGATCCGCCCGCGATTTTGTTTAATATCTCTCAAAAAGAGCAGTATAAAAGAAGGAAAAATCAAATGACTTGTACTTAATTTCAAAAAATGAGATGCTTTAAATCAAATCACTTAACAGTTAGAAGGAAACGGGAGACTAAGGGACAAAGCAACACTTCTATAAAATAAAAATGCTCAAATTTTCTTAGCATTATGATCATATGAATATCATTCTTTTTTTTTGTTGATAAATTGCAGTCCCTGATATACCCCTATAGCAAGCCGTTTTTATATTTATTCAATTTCAAGATATCTTATAAAGTATATTGATATCTTGTATTTTTATGAGATATCTTAGTTAATTTGAGGTTATTAAGAGCAATGATTAACTTTATAAGATATCGTATTACCTTTTTCCAGATATCTTTTAAACTTAATGTCTTTTATCTTTTTAAGATATCTTTAAATCAAAGATTCGAATACATATCAAAACGGATTGCCATATACCTCGCACTACCTTGAAAAAGCAACTATTTTGATACTTGTACAACTGGAAGGCTATGCAGCGATCGACGTATAATTGCTAACATCTACGTCATTTGGTCTCCGGTGTATTGTTGTCTCAATGGCGATTATACCACATGTCCTTATTTTATTTAGTTTAAAAGGTAACAGTACACATGACATATCATCCTTCTTGGATTCATTATTCTTACTCTAAAACATCCATTTTTTGCTCTTATTTCTTAACATGTTTTGCTTTGAGGAACAGCAGCGAATTTAAATTTCAAATCTTTCTTTTT